GTGTTTAATAATATAAGGTCATTGAACCTAGAATAGGTACTATCAGGTTTGATTACGGTATATTCGGGAGGATAATATTGAAAGTCGGCTTAGAAGGTGATTATGGTACTGGTTGGGGCGAGAGAGCTCCATGACTTGTTGCTCTCATAAGGGGTCATGAGATTTTTGCATGTTTCTTTTATTATCAGCAGTGTACGAAGGTTTTGGAATGAGGTTTGGCATGATATGAGGTTTAATACTTAAACTTGGTTGGTTTGGAGTAATTACTGTGATCGGGAATGGTGCTGCGAGCATATGAGTTGTGTAGTATGCAATGTGATTATATTTGTGGTTATGGCTATGGCTTGATACAGCTTGTTCAGACTTATACAGTGTGTGAGATTTAGATCTTGGAAAGAATTCTAGGTGTTAGAAATTGGGCTCCAAGGTTTTTGGGCTAAGGTTAAACTAATGATTTTCAGTTAGGCTGTGTGCTCAGGCCTATATAGAATAGGGTGACATGAGATCACCCCCGGGTACGTGCGTGGTAAGATGTAATAGCGATTTGGTGGCTTGGAAACAACTGTTGGCACGTTCGAGGACGAACGTATGTTTAAGTGGGGGAGAATGTAACGACACAACCGGTTGTTTTGAGTATTACAGCCCCGTTTCCCCATTTACTGCTCAATTTATGCCTTACAGTTGATTTATGACTTACCGGGTTAGTTGGTTCGGGTCGGGAGGGAATTCGGAGTGAAATGAGACACTTAGGCTAATAATTAAAAATTTAAGTTGAAACCGTTGACGGGATGTGGACTTATGTATAAATTACCTTGGATTCGAATTCTGATAATTCAAATAGCTCTGTATGCTGATTTTGGACTTAGGAGCGTGTTCGAAAAATTATTTGGAGGTCCGTAGTGGAATTTGGCTTGAAATGCCGAAAGTTGAATTTCGCCGGTCCGACTTCGGAAGCTTATATCTTTTGATCTACAAGGAATTTTGCGATGATTCAAAAACGAAAGTTGTAGCCCTTCGTGTCTAGTATTCATAAAGTCAAAGAAGTCATCATTTGGACATCTGTAGAGAGTTATGGCCAAACTACTAAGGCATGGAAGTGCAGTCACCAAAAAAGGTGCGGCCTCACCATTTTTGTGCGATCGCAGGAGCTGGGATGTGCGGCCGCACTTGGAATTGTGCGGACCGCACATGGTGAGTTCAGAAAATGTACTATATAACTGAGGCTTAGGTTATTATTTCATTTTTGGACCTTGGGAGCTCAGTTTAAGACGATGTTTCGTGGGTTTTTCATGAAATTCATCGGGGTAAGTGATTATAACTCAGATTTGGTTAACATACATGAATATATCGTTGTTTACATCATGTAATCAGTATTTTGAGATGGATATTTGGAGAAAATTGTAGAAATTTCATAAAACGAATTTTTGGGAGTTGAACACCGATTCAAAGTCGGATTTGAGTGAAATTAGTATGGTTGAACTCGTAATTGAATGGATTGTCGGATTTTATAACTTTTGTCGGGTTTCGAAATGTGGGCCCCACGGGCGATTTCGAGCTAAATTTTGGATTTTTATGAAAAATTAGCATTTTCTTATGGAACTATTTCCAATGAATTTTATTGACTGAAACGAATTAATTGTGACTAGATTCGAGGCATTCGGAAGCCAATTTGCGAGGCAAGGGCAGAGCAGAGTAAAGAATTTCACACTCTGAGATAAGTAACAGTTATAAATCTGGTCCTGAGGGTATGAAACCCCGAATTTTTTGTCATGTGACTATTTTGGAGGTGACACACATGCTAGGTGACGGGCGTGTGGGCGTGCACCGAGGGGATTGTGACTTGGTCCATCTTGTGGAAACTGTAAAGTTTAATAACTTGATGTTAGCTATATGCTCTCTATGTGTTAAAGAAATTTGACTGTAAATCATGCTTAGGTTATATGATAGTACTGTTGGGACCCGCAGAGGTCACGTACTTATTGAATTATTTGCTAATTGCTATCTTGTACTCAGTCATGATTTTACTTGCATATCATACCTCAGTCTTTCTTGATTGTTGATACACCATGTTATCTTTGTTTGGGTTGATCTTTGTGATTTCCGATAGCCCTAGAGACTAGGGAGGTTGAGGACTGAGTTAGGTCGAGGGCTTGTCGGTGAGGTAAGGATATTATGGCACGTGAGTTATCCGTGTAGGATATTATAGCACGTGAGTAGTCCGTACAGGATATTATAGCACGTGAGTTGTCCGTGCAGGATATTATAGCACGTGAGTTGCCCGTGCGGATTATAGCGCTTGGGTTGTAGGATCCCCTCCGGAGTCTGTACACCCCCAGTAAGCGCGGGTACCCATTGAGTGTGAGTGTTGAGGGCTGAGAGCCGAGTGATTGAGCTGTTGTGACGAGTTGAGCGACTATTGCCTGAGAGACTGTACTTGTTTTCATTTGTCGTTGCACTTTGTTGCTATCTGGCATTGTTGTGAAATTCTCTGAAAGATTTTATATCTGGATTACATGAACTTGAACAGTATAAATTGATTTGACTTAAACTACTGGATTTGAAAGCATGTCAATTCTCTATTGGAATTATTGAAAATGAACTATAACTGTGTAGTTCGTCATTATCTTCAGTTCCTTAGTTATTATTGTTACTTACTGAGTTGGTTGTAATCGTACTACACCCTACTCTTCGTGTGCATATCCAAGTATTTCTGGACATAGCGAGTGCTAATTCTCTCGCACAGTTGATTTTTCGGAGATTCAGAGGCAGCTGCCGTGTTTCGCAGACCTTGCCTCTCCTTCCCTATCTCCTTATTTACTGCATTTAGTCTCAGACTATTATGGACCGTATTTTTCAGACTTGTATTCATATTAGATACTCATGTATTTAGTGACACCGGGTTTTGTGAGTGTTATATTTGTATTTGTGAGATTTCTTCCGGTGAATTTAAATATTATGTTTCAAATTTAAAAGATATGATGGTTTATTGAGATTGTCGGCTTGCCTAGTATTGAGATAGGCGTCATCACGACAGGTGAGATTTTGGGTCGTGACACTTGGGCACTCACATCGTGGGGCTAAAACTTCCATATTTACAACAGAATTATGGCTAAATATGCACAGAATCATGTAAAAGAATTATCAATTAAGTCTAACATACATGACTCCATATTAATACAATAGTTCAAATTTAATTTCACAAAGGGAGAATTTAAACTCATAAATTTTTCACCACAAGGATCTCGTCCTTATATAACTTCCATCGCGGCTTATAGCCCAGTTTAAATATTTCACATCGTATAAAAGTGTGAGGATATCGTACTCAACTCTGAATCACATATGTTTTGCACATTGTGCCAACTGAATATTTTTCCATTTCCTTTCTTTCTTCTTTTTTAATAAATTTCGTAAACAATTTTCACAACACATAATGAACCCTCATTCCAATAGGGCATAAAATTGAAATAAATTATTTTGAAATCACATCAAAACCCACTGTAGTGAGTAATAAAAAGTAACGTTTGGACTTATAGCCCTCAATGGTGTACATAAATAAAAATGATAGACACGGGCTAACATCATCAAACCTCCCAACAGAGATAAACATATAAGTGGGTAACAAAATTACGAAGCTCATCCATAAACGGAGCATAATAAGAGGACTCGCCTCAAAATTCAGACCCATATCAAATTAAGGAATATATCCTTTTATAACAGATCAGGATCATACCTGCAATGACACCATCTGGTGTAGTGACCTCAGCCACACCATAACAAATATATCAACGGGCTGGGCCTCCCCCTCTAGGGCGCCCTCTACCCTCCTGTCCTCCACCTATAACTAGTTGTGCACGTGGGGTAGTAACTACATTGGGGCCCATGGCCTGAGTGCTCTGATAAAATCCACCCCTCCCAAGTCTGGGGCAATCTCTCATAATGTGCCTAGTATCACCACACTCATAACAACCCCTCCGAGGTCGCGACTGCTCATACTGAGCCTGTGCCGGATAATTGGAATAGCCACTATAAGAATTTTGTGTCGGTGGTTACACTATAAGAACTTACTGGATCACTGCCGGTAATCTCTTGTGCAGACTGAGTTGGCCGACTGCTCGAGCCTCCGCCATAATGGGTCATAGCTAAAGAGTAAAATTCACTGAACCCTCCAGAGCTTCGAGACCTTTTGGTCTCCTTAGACTCCCTTTCCTCACTTAGAACACCCTCAACCCTCCTCACAATCTCCAATACTTTCTGAAATGGAGTATCAGTTTGCAACGCTCGAGCCATGCATATTTTAAGATCATAATCGAGCCTCTCAATGAATATGCGAACCCGCTCTCTGACTGTAGGTACCAAGATAGGTGCATGACGGGCTAATTCACTAAACCTGATAGCATATTCTGACACTGTCATAGTGCCCTAACGCAACCGTTCAAACTCTGTGCGCCATGCATCTCGGTGAGTCTAGGGAACAAACTCTTTCAAAAATATTTCCGAAAATTGAGCCCAAGTTGGTGGTGTTGCATCGGCTGGTCTACCTTCTTCATAAACTTGCCACCACTGATACGCTGCGCCTGATGGGTGAAATGTAGTAAAGGTACCTCCGCTCATTTTCACAATACCCATGGTGCAGAGAATACGGTGACACCTTTCTAGAAATCCTTGGGCATCCTCTAAAGTTGTGCCACTGAAAGTAGGTGAACTATACCTTTTAAACCTTTCAAGTCTCTTTTGTTCCTCTTTTGATGCCTCTGGCCTGACCTCAGGCTGAACCAGAATAATAGGTTGTATCGGTACTATACCCAAAACCTGACCAATGTGAACTCGCTGCTCAGGAATACGGGCGGTAGGAGTCTGAACTCCTCCCCCAACATGTGAAATATTTGGTGAAACGGAGATCAATCCCGCCTGAGTAAGTGTACCAAATATGTTTAGGAACTGTACTAAAATCTCCTGAAGTCCGAAGGTAACAACAGGTGTCTCTGGTGCTTGTCCCCTAATTAGAGCAATTGGCGGCTCCTCAACTGCCCCTCTAACCGATGTTCTAGCTGTGACACGTGCCCTTCCTCGACCTCTACCTTGGCCTCTTGAAGCCCTAGCAGTATGCGCGGGTGCTTGCTAGCTGACCCGGTAGTGCGTTTCATCACCATCTGTAAGAGAATACAGTTACAAAGACTCAAATTCCACAATCAACAAATTCGCACGACATGAATGAAAGAAGTGGAAATTTTCTATCAGTTCTATAGCCTCTCGAAGATAAGTACAAAATTCCGACATCAACTCGACCCTCAGATCTTCAATTAAAGTCTTTGAAGATTTCTACCATTTTTAACCCAATCTTTACCCATTTGAGCTCAATAATTTTTCCCCAAACCTTATCGGTACGTGTATGTATAAATAATACTCTTACACTCAAGAATCATACTCTCAATCACCCATCTTTATCCAAAAATGGCATTCTCAAGACCCACTCTTAGGGTTCATGCAATATCCCATTATAACTTCAAATAAAACTCATAAACACGCTACCCATACGCCAATATGACATATATATGAAGCTCAAGTGAAGGGATGACCTCTTGGTAGAAAAATCTCATTTTTCCTCTTTTTGGTGTTCTTGAAAATTCAACCCATTTTCTATGGATTTGATCGATAAAAATATTAGTGTTATCACTAAATTATGTTATAATCATCCTTGTGCCAAAACAACTTACCTTGAAGTATATCCATGATGGAAGAGCTCCTCCTTCTCTCTAGAAATCAATTCCAAGTTGAAGAACTAATATTTTCTCACTCTAAAACCCTTGTTTCAGCCCCTTTAAGATGCCCCTTAAAGCTGCGTAGCCTCCTGCGTAGGCTACGCACAAAGGCTATGCAGAGTAAACTTTTATTCCCCTTCAGTTGGAAGCTGTTGGATTTACCTATGCTGTGGTGCGTAGGCTACACTGCTATGATGCGTAGGCTATGCTACTATACTGCGTAGGCTACGCAAGGCTCGCGTAGCTGTTCTGCTACCCTTTAGTTAAAAGGTCATAACGTCTTGTAGAAATCTCCATATGCCAAACGGTTTGAAGCATTAGAACTAGATACATAGACCTTTCGTTTGATAGGTTATACACCATATAACTCTTCATATTTTGAGAGTTATGCTCGTTTGGATTTAAGTCTTCTCCGAACTCACTTGAAACTTTACCCATTGTATAATTTCAAACTTGACTTAGCCTTGGGGCTCTTCTTAGACCACACATCACTTATAATATGCCCCGTACACTTATTATCATATCCAATAGATATCCATTATATTAATAGTCCTCGTATGCACATAAAATTATATAATTAGCACACATTAACTTTCCAATTTCGCCAAAATGCGCTGAATTGTTCTACGGACTTCCAACTCCAATTTCGGGCATACGCCTAAGTCCGAAATCACCATACGAAGCTATCGGAATAATCAAAACTCTATTCCGGGGTCGTTTTCTCAAAAGTCAACTCTCCGGTCAACTCTTTTCTTTTAAGCTTCATAAATAAGAATTATTCTTCCAATTTGATCCCGAATCATCCGAAAATCAAACTCGACCATACACGCAAGTCATAATACACATCATAAAGCTGTGTGAGACCTTAAGTCGCTGAACGAGACACTAATTCACAAAACGACAAGTCGGATCGGCACAAGTTGTTACATATTTTATTGTATCGTATTTTTACTTGAAATACAATATTTGTTTTGATTGTTAGTTAAATTTTATTGTATCGTTTTGTTAAATTCATTGTTACGTAACGACGAAAAGTGTCACTTTATGGAACTGCCAATTTGGTGTGGTCGCATCGTTTCCTTATTTTTTCCTCTCATCTTGCTCTTCCTTATTATTAAATAATCTTATTTTATCTTTTACCATGCCTTTTTATATAATAATTTTACCTCGTACATTACTTTTTCTTTATAATATTGCAAGTTTATTTTTCATATTAAAGGCACATGACATTATGAAACGACGACAAATAATATAATTTATCCAAATATTGTATATATCAAAACGATACAGTACAATATTATACTATACGATACGATACATTATAAAACGATACATGACAATTATCCAAACGAATTGTAAGATTCCACGTAAAGGAAACAGTCAACTAACTCCCTAAAATTGTCATTACCTGCTTCACCTTCCTTTCACCTTCTCTTTCCAAAATCTATAAAATCTTAGCCACTTTTAGTTCTTGATTCAATCATCCAAAACCCAACAAAGATAATTCCCTTTAAAAAATAGCCAGTTCTTGAATTTGGTTCTCAAATATGGATAGACTTGTAAAAACTTTGTTGTTTTCATCATTCTTGTTATTAAGTCTATTTTCTACTACTTCTTATGCTCAAACACAAAACTGTTCAGCTTTTGCATTTAAAAATAATCAGAATTTTGCAACTTGTAATCAGTACAAGAAAGTGGAGATACGGCGACATTTAATAAATGTCGTACTAAGCTGTTTAAATGTCACAAATTCATTTACCGATATTTAATTTACATTTGCATCAAATGTCGTTAATTTCAATGTCGGTAATTTTCCGACATTTAGGTAAATGTCGGTAAGAAATTATGACACTTCTTTTATGACATTTAGGTAAATGTCGATAAAAAATTTATGATACTTATTTTACGACATCCAGGTGAATGTCAATAAGAAATTTATGATATTTAATTTACGATATTTAGGTAAATATCGGTAAGAATGTTACGACATTTAATTTACGACATCTAGGAGAAACGTCAGTTAAAATTTTCGACATTTAGATTAATGTTACTAAAAAAATATGACATTTACGTATGATCTTCACAAAATGTCGTATTAAAATTTCCGACATTTGGTAAATGTCAATAAGAAGATTCACAACATATACAAAATGTCGTATCCACTTTACGTGAATGTCATTTAAGAAATTAGTGACATATCTTTTACAATATAGCAAAATGTCGCATTAAATGTTTGACATTTAAATTAATGTAGGTATCATATTTTTTAAAATGTAAATAATAATGTTCTGTTTAGTTTCATCATCATTTACATTCACAAATGTCAAACTTTTATAACAAACATGAAATAAATGTAAAGAAAATAACTTTTAATACTGTAACCAAAGAATAAAGTAGTAGTATAAAATGTACTTAGTACAAGATAGATAATGTCAAATCAAATGATTTGTTCTCACGTAAAACTCAAATCTAACTAAATCATAAAAGATAGTAACTTCAGCGTGTAAGTACGTTAAGATCACTCCTAATTTGAATTAATTTCCTTAACTTCTAGACTAAATCTTATAAAACCAACTCTCCACAAGTCAAGCTTTTCATTGCCAGTAATTGACATGTATCACTTCCTTCAAAAATGCTACACAAGAAGTCCCAAAAAAAAAAGAATTATAATTTTTTAATAAAGTGAATTCTTTCCTCCTCTAAACTAATTAGAATACCAAAAATAATAACTGATTGAGGTTCTAAAAGAGAAATAAATTGATAATAAATGTAATACTAGCAGCTAAAGAGAGAAAAAAACAAGACAACATAAAGCAAAAAATCCAACAAAGTAAACGCAACCGCCCAAACCCAACAACAACTGAAATAATCTAATATCATAATGCAGTTGAAGATATTTTTTTGGTTGTGGGGGGATGTGGGAGAGGAGGGTTGAATTTTGAAATATTAGTTTCCGTAAATGGTATAGTGAGTTGAAAACTAATGAATGTTATATAAGTTTTGCAAACTATAGCATGAAGGGTTTGGAAGAACAAGAATCTTGTATTTTTTTCAAACTTACCCACTTCTTTTTGTTTGTGCCAACTTCACTAATTCCAGTCTTCTTGATTATGTTAACCTGTGAAGAAATATAAGATTGGTTACTCTGGTAGTTTAGAAAATTGTAAATACAAGATATAAAAAACAGGATAAAATCAAATAATAATTTTTATTTCCTAATATGATGGTGTTTCAATCATAGATCTTTATTTCTCTGATCTAGGTAAGAGTCTTTAACTTACTCTTTCTTCGAGGTTCTAAAGAGTCTAAATAACTTATGTAGGAGGGTAAAATCATGCTTGATGGGAATCTTATCAACATACTGGAACTTAACTACTAATAAAAACTTCTCAATCAAATCCCTTTATAATATATTTCATATTAGTAATGACAACTCCAAAATCACTCAAGATACTTCTATTAATTGCATTTGGAAGATAAGGTCGCTAAATAAGATAAAGTAAATTTGACATCTATGCCAAGTAAAATTACCCACTAATTATCTCTTAAGTAAGAGATCAATTTAGCTAGCTAAAATGAATCATACATCAGAATATACCCTTCAAATTATTTTACACTCAAGCAGCACTTAATAGCCACATATCCAAAAAAAAAAAAGGCAGACATTAGAATTCTGAACCTTATAAGAAATATGCAAGAGAAAAAACCAAATAACTTATAAATCAAATATCATATTATGTTAAAAAATAATCCAACCTTCTACGTGAATAAAGAACAACTGAATCATATACATGAGCAAAAATAAACTTGTAAAAACTTACTATGTGACCTATTTTATACGATCAATCAGCAGTACTTCAACCACAAATATAAGAAAATAACTTTTACATAATGCAATACAATATTTTCTTAATCCTTAAGCCCTTGGTAAAGTAATATTTCTTTTCCATGGCAGAGATAAATCAAATTGTGCAACTAAATGTGAAAAACATAAACCGCCTTTTAGATTTGATTATCGCATTAACTTCTTTAGGTCACAGGATTATATGGAATTGTCCTAAAGAAAAGCTCCCTATCAATAAAAGTTACTTGAAAGAGGGAGACAAACCCATATCCCTACAAAAGACCACCGAGTCAATAAGCTAGAGATAATTCAGTTGAGAATAAAGGGGAAAATGATGTGGAATTGGCTAGAGAGAAACAATGAAGATGATAACCCGGGCTATAAAAACTAATCCACTTTGACTTCCCCCTGCTGTCTTAGGGCCCACTGCTAGCCTCTATGATCATCACAGCGCCACAAACTTTAGCAATTATCACTGACCACCCACGTTTATTACAGCTTGAATTTCAATCAAATGCACATATGCAAGAGAAGGAAAAATACTCGGTCACTGCAGGTTTTTACCAATAACTTAAACCGACTATGTGTGCTTAAATAAAGCATTCTTCTTTTGAAATTATCGGAGCCAATCTGGTTAAAGTGCAACCAGCACAATTAAACCCTTAGGCAATCACTCCAATATAATATAGACACGTAAAAGATTATAATTAACATTTTCCCAAAATAGAACAAGCTACAAATCCAATATTCTTTAAAATGGGAATGCAACTATCCCTGAAATCCATGTGAGCTACATACCCAAAAATATATACATAACTTTCTTAAGTTGAAATTAGATACTAACATAAAGTAAAAGCAATAAACTAAGGCTACACCCATAGTAACATCAATTCATAATTTATAGTTAAAAAGATATAGTTAGAATGAGCTTACGAACTCACCTTCTTTGTGTGAACAACGAAAACAGGTGATAGTGATTGTTGGTGATCGTTCATTGAGTTATCAGAAACCTATCACAAAAGAGGAAGATTACTACAATTAAAAGAAAACTAAATTACAAGATTGTCTTAAAAACAATAAATTTTTTCTAAAGAGCACAATATTTTTTACCTGCTCATTACCAAATAATTTCCTATTTGAGCCAATAGTAATACCCAAAGACTCTAGATATGTACCTATACCCAACTTTACTTTCTCGTCTATTTTTGCTTCCATATCCTTTGTTGCTTCAAATATTTTTCCCCCCATCTCTTTTATTTCTTCTTTTGCTTCAAATAACCTTTTCTCCTTCGCTTCTATTTCTTCTTTTGCTTCAGATAATTTTTCTTCCATCTTAATTCTAATGGCGGAGGTAGCTTTTTCAACTTCTATCTCAACACTTCTATCAAATTCTCTTTGCTCAGCCTGTGATCATTTATATGCAGGGCCATAAACAAAACTTGGAGCTGCTCCTTTTCCTAGAGTTCGAATATTTTCATGAGTGTCTAGTCCCATAACCTGTGCATACACATCATTGGAAGCACTTCCAGGGACATTTAACTCAGGATACACCTTAGCAAGTTCATCCATTTCTTTCTTTTGGAAAGAAAAGGTAAAACAATAAAAAGTTAATAAAATTTTATATTGGAAAGAAAGTAATTTTATATTCATAAAGAATTAGAATTTACCATAGTTTCATCAGCTATCTCATTTAATGGTTGTTTATTCTTTCTCGTATGTGTTTCTTTGAATACCTCGATACGACTTAGTTTTACACCATTCTTCTTTGTCATCTGTTTAAATAGTAAAAAATGAATTGAAAATATATTCAAGAAAATAAGTATTGATATATAAATTGTAGAAAGCTTATAGTAAACATGGCATACATTATCTATAATTTGAGAATGACTTTTTCTTCCTGATGTGTGTGGCATACTCAACTTCCTTCGACTTTCTTTGTTCCTCTCGCTTTTTTCCTAGAAAAGTTACACATAATTTTATATATTAGAGATAATTCATGGCCAAACATTTTTAAAAGAAAAAAGATAAAAAGTAAGAAGAATCACAGAGGAAAAGCATAAAAATATTTAAAGGAAAAAGTGTGATCCGCATATGGAATGCGCAAATAGCATGTGCTAAGAGCAAGAGAAGAAGATGCTTGATGCTCGGAGAATACCTTTGCTTCATTAGAGCTCCAATAATGAACTAATACACGCCACTGGTCTTCTTCTACCCTATCTGAATGTTTAGCTAAGCATTCAATATCGTTGTTATATGGCTCATAACCGATCATTTTTGCTTCATGCTTCCATTCTTTCCATGTAGATCCAACCGATATCATCAACATACATCTCATATCCTCAGTAGCATCAGTATTTTCCTGCAAATATCAACATATAACACATGTATAAAAGCATAATATCAATAATCATCTTAGTATATAATATTTTTCTTTATTTTTCTAAGCACCTTAATATGAGCCCATATCCTATTCTTGTACAGTTTAGGCACAAGCCTCCAATCTTTATGTAACGATCCGGCCAGTCGTTTTGAGTATTATAACTTCGCTTCCTCCTTTACTGCTCAAATTGTACTTTACAGTGGTTGTGTGAATTGCCTGGGTAATTAGTTCGGGTCCGGTGAGCTTTTAGAATGAATTGGAATACTTAGTTCCAAGGTTTAAAGCTTAAGTTAAAATAGTGACTGAATATCGACTTATGTGTAAACGACCTCGGAATTTAATTCTGATGATTCCAATAGCTCCGTATGGTGATTTTGGACTTAGGAGCGTGTCTAAAAAATTATTTGGAGGTCCGTAGTGGAATTAGGCTTGAAATGCCAAAATTTGAATTTTTGAAAAGTTTGACCGGGGATTTGACTTTTTGATATCGAGGTCGGAATCTGATTCTGGAAATTAGAATAGCTCCGTTATGCCGTTTATGACTTATGTACAAAATTTGAGGTCAATCAGACGTGATTTGATGTGTTTCGGCGCAAGTTGTAGAAACTAGAAATTTCAAAGTTCATTAGGCTTGAATTGGGGTGTAATTCATAGTTTTAGCATTGTTTGAGGTGATTTGAGATTTCACTTAAGTCCGTATGATATTTTAGGACTTGTTGGGATATTTGGTTGAGGTCCCAAGGGGCTCGGGTGAGTTTTGGATGGTTAACAGATCATTTTTGGTCTTGGTGAGATTGCTGATATCTGTTGCTGCATTTTTCGGATTTTCTCTTTCGCGTTCGCGAGTGGGCCCTCGCATTCGTGAAGAGGAATTTGTGGCAAGAAGGATTTACTCTTCTCTTTCGCGAAGAGGTTTCGCGTTCGCGAAGAGAAGCTGGGTTGTGCATCGCGTTTGCGTATGGGGTATCGCGTTCGCGAAGGGAAACATAGTGGGCATGGACTTTTGCTTTCACGTTCGCGAAGGGGGAGCTCGCGTTCGCAAAGAAGGGCTCCATAAAGCATCGCGTTTGCGAACAGTGTCTCGGGTTCGCGAACAGCAAATGTTGGGAAGCACATTTTGTGTTTCGCGAACGCGAGGGACCTGTCACGTTCGCGAAGAAGAGGGGTCTGGACAGAAAGTTTAAGTTCAGAAAATGGGACTTCGTCCCATTTTCCATTTTTAACAATTTGGAGCTCGGATTGAGGAGATATTTGGGAAATTTTCAGAGGAAACAATGGGGTAAGTGTTCTTAACTCAATATTGGTTAAATTACCTGAATCCATGATTGTTTTTATCATTTAATTGGTGAATTAAATTGGAAAAGTTTGAAAACTCTTTTAGTTTAAATTGAGAATTTGAAGGCCGAGTTGTGGTCGGATTTGAGTAATTTTGGTATGGTTGGACTCGTGGTTGAATGGGGGTTCGGATTTTGTGAGTTTTATCGGATTCCAAGACATGGGCCCACGGGTGATTTTTGGGGCGTAATTTCGGATTTTGTGGAAATATTAGTATTTTGATATGGAATTAATTCCTATAAATTTTTGGGCTGGATTAAATTAATTGTGACTAGATTCGAGCCGTTTGGAAGTTTATACACGCAGAGTGGAATTGCTGGAGCATTGCTTAACTTGCTCGATATTGATTTGGCTTATTCGAGGTAAGTAACTCTTCTAATCTTGGAGTTGAGAGTATGAACCCTGAATATATATATTTTGTGAATTGTTGGGAGGTGATGCACATGCTAGGTGACGGGCGTATGGGCGTGCACTATAGAAATTGTGACATAATTGTTTCTGTGAAATTTTATAGTTAAATAATCTTGGCATTTTCCATGCGGTTTTATGTGTTAAAGAAATTGAGCTGAAAAGCATATTAAAAATCATGTTGAGGCTATGTGCCAGTATTATTAAGACCCAAGAGGTCATATTGCTGTGAATTATTGTGGTAAATTAAAAAATTCATACTCAGTCATATTCATTTCATTGAATATCATAACTCAGTTTTATGACTCTATTTTGATGTATATAAATGTTTTGGGCCGAATCACCTGTTTTACTGAGATGCCCGAGTGGCTTGAGAGGTTTATGACTGAGTTAGGCCGAAGACCTGATTTATGTTGCATATTTATGGGATCGGGCTGCACGCCGCAGCATATTGCATATTTATGGGATCGGGCTGCACGTCGCAGCATGTTTGATATCGACTGAGGGCATGATTTGTGAGGATGAGTGTGGATCGGGGCTGCCCGCCTGCAGCATATTTATGACTGAGTGAAGCCGAGGGCCTGATTTGTGAGGATGAGTGTGGATCAGGGCTGCCCGCCTGCAGCATACTTTATTNTTTTTTTTTTCACTTATGTATTTGAAAGAAATAACTATTATTTTTGAAATCATGATTTGGCTGGGTATTTTATCCCTGAGTTACTTCTGGCATTATTTGCTTTATATTGTAATGGATTGTTGTGGACTATTGGTTTTGGACCCGGCCTTGGTGGAAGCTCGTCACTACTTTCAACCTACGGCTAGGTTTGTTA